GATAATAATTTGTATTTTAAGCAGTTTAATAGTCAGTGTTATTAGAAATATGTCTATTGCTGACAGATTATGGACAAGGATGGAATTAAATAAGTGTGCACTTCTTCCCAATGCTTTTGGATATGTAAACTGAGAATAGTTAGAGGGTATTTTGCTTTATCTTGTATAGTTTTTTTGCTAAATGACTTTCTGTATATTGTTTACATCAGGGGTGTCCAACTCCAGGCCTCGAGGGCCGGTGTGCTGCAGGGTTTAGACGAGTCCTTGATCTTTACCTAAATGACCTCCTCAAAGTGTCCTGAAGTTCTCCAGAGGCCTGGTGATGAACTAATCATCTGATTCAGGTGCGTTGACCCTAAAACCTGCAGGACACCGGCCCTCGAGGCCTGGAGTTGGACACCGCAGGTTTGCATGATCAGAATAAATTGAGAAAATAGATCTGTTCAGTGAACAGTCAGCATGGATAACTCGGTTCATCTCCTTATGCCAAATTTAAGACCTGTGCTCAGCTCAGCTCCTTTAGCAATCTGGGGAAGCTCCCTTTGTTGGAACTCACAGGGATGCTTTGTAGTCTGACATTTTTCTGGCACACACAAAGATCCACTGTCCCCACAAACACACCCCCGCTGTCACCATCGACAGAAAATCATTGCAGCATTAACTGCAGTGTTTAATATCATCTGGTCGGCAGCTTGACTTCACAATTTGAAGGCAAGAAGCTCGTCTAAAGAGCGGGCCGTTTCATTTTATAGTCGCCAAAGCGATCAGTCAGCTGTGCGTGTGACGTGTCGGGGAAAGGCTGATAAAGCTACAGCAGCAAGGTCACCCCACACAGAGGCTTTTTTCCTTGACTGCTAATGCAGCTAATGTGCAGCTCAGCGCTTACACCAGAAGGCGAGGAAAGAGGGAGGAACAGGAAATACATCTCTGCGGAGCGTGCGATGAATATCGGGGGACACAGGCGAGGAGGCAGATGCAAGAGAGACATTAAGTTCAGAGTCATTAGGCACAACACATGTGTCATTATATCATACTGCACGACATTCATCAGCCCTTTCATTACGAAGCCGTGGGAGGGCACAAAAGCAGAGGCTCGTCTGCCGCTGCTGTGAAAAGCAGCTCTTCTTTTAGGAAGTTCAGTGGGATGCTTTCCCCTCACGCTGCTGTATTTAAAGCAGCCTGTGTGACACTCAACCTGACTAAATCTGTCTGAGGCAAAGCTGAGGCATTCAGCTCGCTGAAGAGGCGAGAGAGCCGGAGATACAGAGAGAGCGGCGCTCTGGCAAAGAGTGCACGGGTGACTGCTTAATGTTGTTCTCATGAGGACGAGGTCAGACAAGTTTACAGGGATAGAAATGGGCCGCTCCAGTCTCCCCACTGGATCAGACTCGAGTTGCAGAAAGAAGCAGGGGTCCAAGGATGGTTTCGGACTATCACCTGTGAACTTATTGTCAAATGTATTTAGAGTTTACATCAAAGGATCACACAGTGATCACAAAGTTACATTTTTATTCCCAAGTTTTGGGCTAATTTATGAAGAACATCCACATCTACAATCCACTAACTGGTGTTTTGGGTCAAAAGAAGCTTTTAACTGCACCGTGAAAAAAGTGAACTGTTATCAGTGCAGGAATAACCTCAGCACATATGTGTCCTTAATCCTAAACCACAAATTGCATGGCCTAATTTCCATAACAAATCTTATCAACACTGGCCTCAGAGGGAACACAAACTAATTGCTGAGGCGTTAACGTTGGGTGTCTAATTAATCCTTGAGACGCGGGCTTTTGAGTTTTGAGGCTACAAAGGAGGATGGCTGCGAGGATCAAAGTCATTCCAGTCTGCTGCGGTGGGAGAGATTAGCAAAATACGGTGGAGGCACGGAGACAATCGAGCATCCGAGCCTTTCGGTTCCAGAGCACAACCAAGACCCCGGCTGCACGAAGAAGTCACCCTGCCCTTGTGCTTTGCTCGCTGACTGACACTGACACGTGCGAGGGCGTTATGTGATATCGTAGTAATCCCACTGAAGTCCCAGAGCCTCTTTTTCGTAACCCATGCAGGAGAACAGACACAGGAAGGAGTTACTGCTGCAGTAACTACTGACAGCGGGTTGTTGTTTTGATTTCGTAGTTTGTGACAGATGTGAGTGATTATGAGTTTCGTAAGCATGCATGTTGTTTATGCACCAAACTAAAGGAGAACGTTAGGACAAAAAATGTAGCTGGTTCTCTAAAAACACAGTGGCTACTGCAGGGGTGTCGAACTCCAGGCCTCGAGGGCCGGTGTCCTGCAGGGTTTAGATCTCACCCTGGGTCAGCACACCTGAATCACATGATTAGTTCATTACCAGGCCTCTGGAGAACTTCAAGACATGTTGAGGAGGTCAATTATCAATTTAAATCAGCTGTGATGGATCAAGGACACATCTAAAACCTGCAGGACAGTTGGACACCCCTGAGCTATTGGCCTCAAGGCTTTTCCCTTTGTGTATATAATTAACAAGTATTTATTATAAGTAAATGGGGCAGGTCACTCCAAAATCTTATAGTTATTTCAACTTTTATATAAAAATAGGAGAACAAAATTGCAAATCTGCAGAAAAATACATAAAACTCTGCAGCAGTGTCTCTTTTCAGAAATCCTGAACCAGTTACTCAAAGAAAATACACAAACCTTCACGTAGGAACGAGTTTCTCTCACCTAACAGCTGATGGAAGCTGGCAGCAAGCTGAAATTTAAGCTCAGCTTAGGGCAGCAGCATTAATGTTTACATAGTGTCACACTGCCATGAGCGCGAGCCCCTCCTCACGGTTGAAAGCACCCTTGCTTCTGCACAGCGGTACAGTTCACATTCTCGAAGATAGCTCCATCATATTTAAGGGAAAGCAGACATCTCTGATAACTCCAACACTGGGAGCTCACAGCAGAAACAGTGTCGATAAACAGCAGCACAGCTCAGAGGAAAAACCCTGGATTTCGTGGTGAACTACCCCTTTAAGAACTGCTTCATGGAAACGTCACTGCATCATTTCATCATCGCTGCTATCGGTGAAACAGTCTTGATTCACTGAACGACTGCAGGTGTAATAGTAGAGCCAGATGTGCTGAAAATCCTTTCCCACTATTTGCATCTCTACATGCGTGTTTCTGTAATGCTGGGCGAAACTATTACACAAAAGCATCTGTTTTCATGTAGATTCCCACACTGTAGATGGTTTTGAAGTTTAACCATCCATTTATGATCTTATGCTTATTTAATTCAGGCTATGCGAGCTCGCTGGACAGGTCACCAATCGCTCGCTCGCGTCCTGAGATTCACCAGGCTGAACCCACGCTGACAGAATGTGCAAACAAAACAGGACAAACCTGGATTCAAACCCAGCACCTCCTTACTGTGAGGCAACAGTGCTAACCACCACACCACCTGCCACGCATGTTGATGTTTATTTCTACACATAATATTCTCGAGCACAGATGGGAACTATAAACATCTCACAGCCTAGTTCATGTCACAGAAACCTTTGGAAGCATTGGGCTATTATGTCTGCTGTTAAGTTACTGTCCCTGCACTGTGGGAAGCACGGGGACTTTCTATAAACTCATCTCTTCTTTCATTAAACTTAATAACCATATCGAGTCAAATAAAGCCAACATCTGAATGAAACTGGGATTCCTCTGACCTAAAGATTAAAAACACAGTGTTAGACGTCTGATCAAGCATTCAATGCTTTCTGCACAGCTCTGCATACTTGACACTATTTAGATTTGTCCTACACATGTGTGTCTAGCCAGCCTTAAAGCCCTAGTTTCTTCTCTTTGCCCCGGCGCTGCCTCTAGCTAGTCGAGCCACCGTAAAGTTGAACTCATCTCCATTTCACTGGCCCTCCAACAGCCTGTAACCCATTCAAGGACCACTGGGTGCCACCCTCTCAACTGGATGACAGGTTGCTCTTCCATTCGGCAGCTGCCTGCTCAGATTACCTCGACCAAGAGTGGAAAGAAGGTCTCATCTGCTGACAGCCTACTGCTCCACTGCATCACTCTGCAGCAGCACTCAGGAGGCACAGAGGCTGTCTCTGCACCCCGCATGCAGGAAAACAATCCTGCCTTGGCAGCTGAGGCTCCCTGTCCCAGCTAATATTGTGGTCTGATCCAAAAATAGCCTGACTTGTAAATCTTGCAAAGAGACAACTAAGATATGGGCTGTTCAAATCCACCGTCACAGGCACGGAGTATTAACATGAAGCAGGCTGGTTCTGATTATCCTTTGTAAAGAAGAAGGAGGGAAAAGTCGATTTTATGATGTACTTTTTTCTTGCAGCCTCCAATACAAGAACAGCACCGGAGACCAAAATACAATGAAATGTGAGGAGGTGTGAACCGAGAAAAGGCAAACACTGCGAGCTCAAAGCAGATTAAACATGCACCTGTCCTCGAGTCTGTCCAATAGCATGGAAACTGACACTGAGGTGCACGACGCGGTGTGCAATAGTGCAGTCCACCTGCAATAGTTCGGAAATCCCGAGGAAAGTGATCTCGAAGGTAAACAACCTTAAACCAGAGGAGATGACTGACAAGAGAGAACCCCCTTCAATAAAAATAGGCTAACTATCAGCCAATCAAGGCCCGTGAGCTGCGTGTGAGGATAGTATGGACAACAACAGCTGCCCAGAGGGAACAAATGGGCTCATATCAGGAGGCAGGCTAATGGGCTAAACAGACAATAACCGACCAGAAGGTCATAACTCGGATGTGCCAAAGTGGCCATTTTTCCTGAACACCTATTATCACAGCAGTGAATTTTGGAAACAGCACGAAATGCCAGTCAGAGCCATCGTTTACAGGCCTGCTGCCTGACCAGGTGTTGATTTTGGGACGCCCTCGTGGAGACAAAAGAACCGTGCCACCGCGAGGTGCGCGACGGCAGTGCGCCTCTTGTCTCGTTTTCCAACAGCGTCGCGTTCACCTGTCCTTCCCCTCCGCCTCCTCTCACTCACCCAGCACGCCGGAGGAGGTCTGTGGCGGAGCCGAGCCTGGATCCGGCCTCTCTGCGTCTCCTTGCGGCGCTCGGTGTCGGTGCCGGGAACTCTCGGGGCCGTCCCCGGAGGTGGTCGCGCCACCGGCGGCCGCCCCGGCTGCAGCAGCGCCCGCCGCTGCCGTCCCCGTGTCGGGCATGCTCTCTATCAGCGAGGAGCGACTGAGGATAAAGGTATTCTCCGGGAAATCGTGCAGCGGTGTCGCATCTCAAGAGGAAGGCAAAGCATGGGTGTAGCGTGGGGGTTAAATGAGAATGAAAGTGAAGTGAAGGTTGTTGGCGTTGGCGCAGCGGCGGATCATCCTGGTGGTACTCTGGAGCAGGATGCGCGGTTAGATGGAGAGCGCTCCTCCAACCACTACAGGAGGAGGGACAAAGAGAGGGAGGGGTGGATGGAGGGGGCTGTGTGACACACATGCACCTTCACGGTCGCTGACTGATTGTTGTCTCAGATTACATTGCCAAAACTGTTAAATGTAACAAACCCGCACCACGCACGCTGTAGGAATTTAAAAAATCTGTCTGTTAGGATCATTTTATGCATGCATGTAGTAGCGGTTCCTCCATCTCTGAGAGAAGTGTATTTTTATCACCTCGCAGGCTGCAGATCGAGGCCAAAAATAGAATCCAAATGGCTACATTAAAGGAAAACTCATTCAAAATGCATGGTTTTCACAGTGATGACATTACTTCACAGGCAAGATGCCCAATCAGATGATCTGGTGCTTTTAATGTGCGCGCCTTTGATAATCCTTTCATAGACTATCACTCTTCTTTGACTATGATGGGAAAACTGAAGAAGCTGTGCAAAAAATATCTTCATGGATTAAATTTTTAGTGACACTTGGGTGTGGCTACCGGTAATATCGCTTCTCAGTCAAACACTCTACAGTAAACACGGCGTGGGGCTGTGTAATGTTTGCTTTGCTGCTTAATAAGCTTGGTCATTCCATCACTGTATCGCTAAGGCCAGTTTACATGGTCACACTGTCTTGAAAAGAGAGCAAAGAGCAGTCCTCCACCCTAAAGAGACACACGGCCCTCAAAATAAATGTTGTTACAGCAGAGCGAGTCCGATGATCCTCTGCAGGTAAAATATGTGCTTTGTCTTAAATTACTATGTCTGCCCCTTTTCAACCTGTGGGGGAGTTGCTAAAGCATATGTTAGGAGTGCTTGTGTGTGCAAGGAAGGTGAACACAGCTATCGTTGTAGACAAAGATCATTTCATAACCTGGAATCATAATCGGGGCTGAGAGGTAACTGTCTCTGTTTGGACTGTATTCAGCAGCTGTGAGGTGGCAGCTGTCATGCTCTGTGCACACACTGAGCAGTCTATAAATTATTTAGATCCCAGGTTAAAGATTGCTCCCAGGCCTTGGGCCATGCCTCTTCACCGTGTACACAATCTATCATCTTGGTCGTCCCTCCTGGAGGCCGTGGTTCACTGTGCGGCTACAGAGGCAGGCTGGCAGCCCGCCCCCTCGTATGGCTCAGAAGCATCTCATCTGTGAGCACAAATTCTGCTTACTCACCACTCTCTGGGATGACAGCTGCAAGACGCTGCAGTGGGGCACGCACACACACGCACACACACGCACACACACACACACACTGATGCACACAGTCTCTGTTTATATTCTGTTACATGCACGCATTTATGTAGTCTATGAAGAACCACAGATCAAAGCACTGTTAGTTTTAATAGACAGAACACAATCTAAACAAATACTGTAAAACTTATCATTTGAAATAAATTAAAAATAGTAGTGCTGTAAGAATAACCCTGTTTGCACTGCTGTTGATTCTCACACACTAAGGAATACCTTCCACCTTGTGCTGAAAAAAGCAAAACTTGACTGCTGATTTGTTTCCTGGTTAACATGTGCATTCTGCATAATGTGCCAGAGGTGTTTCCCCCAGTCTTTGATGATTTGGTAAGTAAATTGGCAGTAAAACAAACTGTGGTCTGTCCTGAACTGAATTTTACATCCTCCTTTTTCCATATACTAACCACAAAACAAAGGTGACAGACATGTTGGCACGTACATCACACAAACAGTAGATCCTTTGATAGCAGGTGCATCACTGAGTTAGTCATTTGAGTTCATGTAAACATAAGTTTAAAAAAAACCAGTAGTGATAAAAAGTGAAACGTTTATAGCCGCAATAAGAACGATATTAGCTACATACACAAAAAGTAAAACATTGGAATTTGCAGCAATGATCGATGTACACCAATGACAGTGTTAATAAACCTTTTTGTGGCCTAAATCACATAAAATCCCTTCATATTAGAGGAAGATTTGTAAATATCACAACACAATTTCAAGTTAAACAAGACAACAAGAGTTATTTTCATGCTTTATTTCATGCAAAGCTACTTTTGTGGGGGGACAAAAGATTACTGTCAAACAGATTCCTTCCACAAAATAACCAACATTTTATATTTTAATGTTTAAATGGATGTATTTGTTTAACGTGATATAAAACAACAAAAAAGGCTGAAAATCAGACCTTTGATCCCGGAACGATCATATTTGAAATAGTCACACGGACCGAATTTTCAGCGTACGATGGGCGTGGCTTAAGATAGATTGACAAGCGTCGAACAAACGGGAGTGCTTAATCTGCTGTCGTTGTGAGAAACGCTAACCAATCGAAATCAAGAGTGGGAGGAGCTACATAAATGTGACTGAAAGATGGGAAGGAAAAGTCACGAGTGGGATGAGTGTGTAAATTATACTTTAATATAACATAAGATAAGACGCAAAAGAGTGAATGTCCGGATTTAGCAGCTAACATTAGCTTCACAGACACTCCGACGTTAACTGAAAAGAAGCAAAGTGGAAATAATGTGTTGGGTGTCGGTCTGTAGGAGAAGCGGCAAATAAATGAAACGTTTGGTGTCTCATACTGATGCTGCCGCTGCGGCCCGTGTGTGGTGGGATATGGAGAGCTGCTGTGCACACAGTCAGGATGAGGTTCGTTCTGTTTCCCGGCCTCTATGTCAAATTCATGTCTTTATTTTTATGGCTGCATTCACAGAAGCAAAATAGTGCAATTAAAATATAGATTTCTTTGGGCACTTTTCATTATTTACCCACTCAAGTTTAATGCTTGTTGTTACACTAACTTAACTTACAGTGTTGTTTATTTAAGTGCTCATTTATAACTTTGATTTTGAGTTTAAATAATATAATAGAGATATAATAACTGAAAACAAAATGTAGAACATGTTATAGTATGAATCAGTCATTTTCTTATTTCCAGCCGTGGAGCTCCACCCTACAGGCTCCTCTCCTCTACCTGTGATGGAGCCCCAGCTGCACTGGCTGATGCTGACACCATCTTTGCGCTGTCGTCCGGGCACGGCAGGTGCGGAGTGGCAGTGGTACGTGTCAGCGGTCCCGCCTCAGCTACAGCCCTGAGGTGTATGGCTGGGTTCACGCAGCGTCTGCCCCCTCCACGCACCGCCCTGTTACGCAGCATCACAGACCCCCGCTCCACAGAAGTGCTGGACCGTGGGCTCGTCCTGTGGTTTCCAGGTCAGTTCCACTGGACCGTTCTAACATTTTGTTCTTCTCTGTTTTTGTCTGAGAATATGAGGATGTGGATATGTTTTTGTTTAGAAGCACATAAGTTACATCCATGTCCAAAGGTTTATCAGCATGTCCCAGATATGTAGACAGACTCGTACTTAATTATGATAAAAAGGAAGTATTCCCTCAGCCAGTGTTATTGTTTTACATATCAGCACACAATATAAAAACGATGTAGTGTTTGCCAGGCAATAAAAGTAGGTAAATACAACCTGAGATGAATAATGCCTTATGATGTATTACACAGTGTCGTTATTCCTCAGGCAGGGACCACACCTTAGTTCTGATTAAACAGTGCTTATTGAAACAGGATGATGGATGGAGCGAGCAAAGATCTTGATTGATGCTGCGGTTTGGGAAAGGCCTCAAAGAGGATCAGCAGTTTCTTCTAAGTCCTGGGTACCAACAAGAGGAGAGGGTGGGTGCGGTTGGGATGCTAAGCCAAAATACAGAAGCAGTGTGTGAAAAACTAACTACACTCCATGATTCAGGAACTGGTAGAACCCCATTTAGCAGCAATAGCTTGAAGTATTGTTGTGGAGGATTATAGGCTCACTCTTCTTTTCAAATGTGCTTCAGTTCACTGATGTTTGTGGCTATTTATTAAGCCACAAGGCTGTAAAACAAGCCCAAACCTTCATCACTCCATCACTGTGCTGAAGTATTTGTGCTAAGATGCTGTTGGTCTCATCTGCCTAAAGCACATTGTCGCAGAAGGCTTGTGTTTGGCAGATGCAGCCATGCAAACCAAACATGCTAACTGAGTCTGAGACGTAGTTCTTTGTTTAGTTTTTTCCCCCATTTCTCTGAACACGACCTGAGCTTGGACTGACTTTGGTGGAAGGTCTACGCCTGAGAAGTGGAGCATCTGCCTCGAATGTTTTCCACTCGTGAAATAAGGTTTTTCACTGCATCGTTTGGAAATAGCGTGTAGAGGCTAAACGGTGGAAATAGAGCGGTGGCTGCTTTAACGGTGGGACACATTCTCTAAACAACATGACAGAGTTTGGTAAAACCACGTCATTTCTCACTAACCCACAACCATAGCTGCTGTGTTTGATCTAAAACCAGTAATAAATCTTTCCAGCATCTCACGTCCTGCCTGTTATTCACTTCAGTTCTCTTTACATATTTAAATAACTAAAGGATGCACAGAGTGTTGTTATTCCTTTGTTTGTTTCATCAGCTCCTCGTAGCTTCTCCGGAGAAGATAGCGTGGAGTTCCATATCCACGGAGGTCCCGCTGTCGTTACTGCTGTCTTACAGGCTCTTGGTAAGATGTGATTCTCAGTATAATGTTTTAAAAAACTTGATATAATTTAATGTGACAAGCAAACATATCCAGACTTGAGATGCAGCCGTCCCTTTGAAGAGCGTTTTGAAGTTTGAGTCTTTGTAGCTTCCTGAGCTCTAAGCCTCCGTAAGTACGATATCTGTTGGAGTCAGGCGGCCATCCATCACTGCGACTTAAAACAGAGAACTGACGCATGCATCGCCGCGTCTGAGATACTTTTAATATGCGCTGTGGCAAGCGTGACAGTCCTCCTGTGCTTGATGTTTTTACTGCAGTTCTCCTGTTGACCTCCCAGGGGGCAGCATTGTACAAAGCAGAGAGTTTATGTGCTGTAAGGTGTTTTTTTTCTAAGCAGGGAGGAATATTTAATATTACATTACCTTTGTTTTCAAGGTTCATTCAGATAAAATTGTTGCCTTCATTTGGAAACCAAAAACACCGAGCGTGTCGGTGAGATCAGTCGGGTAAAATGTCTGTAATCAG